ATATATATATATATATATATATATATATATATGTCGTACCTAATAGCCAGAACGCACTTCTCAGCCTACTATGCAAGGCCCGATTTGCCTAATATGTCAAGTTTTCATGAATTAATTGTTTTTCGACTACCTAACCTACCTAACCTGACCTAACCTAACTTTTTCGGCCACCTAACCTAACCTAACCTATTAAAATAGGTTAGGTTAGGTTAGGTAGGGTTGGTTAGGTTCGGTCATATTTCTACGTTAATTTTAACTCCAATAAAAAAAAATTGACCTCATACATAATGAAATGGGTAGCTTTATCATTTCATAAGAAAAAAAATTAGAGAAAATATATTAATTCAAGAAAACTTGGCTTATTAGGCAAATCGGGCCTTGCATAGTAGGCTGAGAAGTGTGTTCTGGCTACTAGGTACGACATATATATATATATATATATATATATATATATATATATATATATATATATATATATATATATATATATATATATATATATATATATATATATATATATATATATATATGTCTTACCTAGTAGCCAGAACGCATTTCTCAGCCTACTATGCAAGGCCCGATTTGCCTAATAAGCCAAGTTTTCATGAATGAATATATTTTCTCTAAATTTTTTCTTATGAAATGATGAAGCTACCCATTTCATTATGTATGAGGTAAAAAAATTTATATTGGAAATAAAATTAACGTAGATATATGACCGAACGTAACCAACCCTACCTAACCTAACCTAACCTATCTTTATAGGTTAGGTTAGGTTAGGTAGCCGAAGAAGTTAGGTTAGGTTAGGTAGGTTAGGTAGTCGAAAAACAATTAATTCATGAAAACTTGGCTTATTAGGCAAATCGGGCCTTGCATAGTAGGCTGAGAAGTGCATTCTGGCTACTAGGTACGGCATATATATATATATATATATATATATATATATATATATATATATATATATATATATATATATATATATATATATATATATATATATATATATATATATATATATATATATATATATATATATATATATATATATATATATATATATATATATATATATATATATATATATATATATATGTATATATGTTATATATATATATATATATATATGTTATACCTAGTAGCCAGAACGTCGTACTCGGCCTACTATGCAAGGCCCGATTTGCCTAATAAGCCAAGTTTTCCTGAATTAATATATTTTCTCTAATTTTTTTCTTATGAAATGATAAAGCTACCCATTTCTTTATGTATGAGGTCAATTTTTTTTTGTTGGAGTTAAAATTAACGAAGATATATGACCGAATCTAACCAACCCTACCTAGCCTAACCTATCTTTATAGGTTAGGTTAGGTTAGGTTAGGTAGCCGAAAAAGTTAGGTTAGGTAGTCGAAAAACAATTCATGAAAACTTGGCTTATTAGGCAAATCGGGCCTTGCATAGTAGGCTGAGAAGTGCGTTCTGGCTACTAGGTACATATATATATATATATATATATATATATATATATATATATATATATATATATATATATATATATATATATATATATATATATATATATGTCGTACCTAATAGCCAGAACTCACTTCTCAGCCTACTATGCAAGGCCCGATTTGCCTAATAAGCCAAGTTTTCATGAATTAATGTTTTTTCGTCTACCTAACCTACCTAACCTAACCTAACCTAGCTTTTTTTGGCTACCTAACCTAACATTACCTATAAAGATAGGTTAGGTTAGGTTAGGTAGGGTTGGTTAGGTTCGATCGTATATCTACATTAATTTTAAATCCAATAAAAAAAAAATTACCTCATACATAATGAAATGGGTAGCTTTATCATTTCATAAGAAAAAAATTAGAGAAAATATATTAATTCAGGAAAACTTGGCTTATTAGGCAAATCGGGCCTTGCATAGTAGGCTGAGAAGTGAGTTCTGGCTACTAGGTACGACATATATATATATATATATATATATATATATATATATATATATATATATATATATATATATATATATATATATATATATATATATATATATATATATATATATATATATATATATATTTTTGGTAGCAGTCTTTCCTGTAGACATATATTATTAAATATGACCGAAAAAGTAAGATTAATAATTCTAACACGAATTTTCTCAATCTTTCGTACATTTCTTTTCACTGTTGGAGGTAATTCAAAAATCAATTCTCCAAAATTCATTTTTATTTCTAGTCTTGTATATCTGATCACGAATCAGATCCTGGCGATATTTTATCGTGAAGGCTTGATTCCTTGGTGCTGGGTCGTGCGCTTTAATATTAGTATATTTTGGTAGCAGTCTTTCCTGTAGACATATATTATTAAATATGACCGAAAAAGTAAGATTAATAATTCTAACACGAATTTTCTCAATCTTTCGTACATTTCTTTTCACTGTTGGAGGTAATTCAAAAATCAATTCTCCAAAATTCATTTTTATTTCTAGACTAGAAATAAAAATGAATTTTGGAGAATTGATTTTTGAATTACCTCCAACAGTGAAAAGAAATGTACGAAAGATTGAGAAAATTCGTGTTAGAATTATTAATCTTACTTTTTCGGTCACATATATATATATATATATATATATATATATATATATATATATATATATATATATATATATATATATATATATTCTATATATATATAGATATATATATAGATATAGATATATATAGATATAGATATAGAATAATTCTATATATATATATATATATATATATATATATATATATATATATATATATATATATATATATATATATATATATATATATATGCGGAAAATCCACAGAGAAATATGAAATGAGGTGAACGTTTCGGCTTGTTAAAGCCTTTGTCAACACCAGACTGACTAAGGAGAAAGAAGGGGAGGATATATAGGCCAACACCTGACCAACCCATCCCTATTAAAGAATTAACCAAAAACAGGTATAGCTTAGCTTAGAATGGTCAAAGAGGATTAAGCGGTCAGAGAATAAGGATAAAAGATTAAAGAAAAGCCTCATGAACACACAATATATGAATATACAATTATAATGAGACATTGTAAGCCTCTCTATCAAAGTTGTTTCTTAAACTGTTGTGCAATATTATAACTTAAAAATGGATCAACTTTGTACATTCCAGTACTAACATTAAGAAGATTTGGACACTGACTGATTAAAGCAGACTCAATCAAATTCCGTTCCACGAAATCCCCACATTTGGTAATGCTTTTTGCCCCATTCCAGTTAATATTGTGATCGCATAAACTCGTATGTAGATACAATGCATTAGACGTTTGGGCAGTTCTAATACTATAAGCATGTTGTGACAACCGCAATTGTAAGGACTTTCCTGTTTGTCCAAGGTACACAGAATCACAATCATTGCAGGGAATCGAATACACACAACCTGCTGTATCAGGGGAGTTTTTTATTAAATTGGATTTGATCGTACTATTAGTGAACACCAAATTTATATTAAGTTTCTTAAAAATCAGAGACAATTTTTCCTCCCCTTCTTTCTCCTTAGTCAGTCTGGTGTTGACAAAGGCTTTAACAAGCCGAAACGTTCACCTCATTTCATATTTCTCTGTGGATTTTGTTATTGTTATTGTTATTATATTGTTATTGTTATGTTAATATGTTATTGTTATTTTCTTATTGAGTTCCTTACACATTTCCTTGTCGTTTGTAGTGATTCTGTCTGCCCCCATCTTCAGTTTCATTACCTGTTCCTTCACTGTTGTTTTTCTCCAGATTTGGCTGTGCAACAATTTAGGTTGAGTCTTTGCCTTGCTTGCTATGTCATTTTTATATTGCCTTTCTGCCTCTCTTGTCACCCTGATGTATTCATTCCTGGCACACTGGTATCATTCTGTGTTCTCTAGTGTCCTATTATTTCTGTCATTTCTCCATGCCCTTGTACTTAGTTGCTTTCCTAGCTTACATCTCTGATTAAACCATGGGTTTCTAATCTGCAATTCATTTTTTTTCCTTTTGGAGTGGGACGAACTTGTCTGTTACCTCCTTTCACTTCTGTGTGATGAAGTCCATTATGTCTTGGGCCGTCTTTCCTCCGAACTCTGCTTCCCAAGTTATGTCTGTTAGAAATTCTCTTACCACCTCAAAGTTTCCATTTCGGAATGCTAGCTTTTTGTTTTCTGGGCCCTTCCTTGAGTACATTAACCCTTCTTCGACCAAATACTCAAACATCATGTACTCTGTGATCACTCATTCCCACGGGGGCTTCGAAACCGATTTCCCTTATGTCAGAGTCATTTAGAGTGAAGACTAGGTCGAGTCTCGCTGGTTCATCATTGCCTATCATTCTTGTGGATCCCCTGACATGCTGACTTAAAAAGTTTCTTGTCGCCACTTTCAGCAGTTTAGCTCTCCAAGTTTCCTTATCTCCATGCGGTTCCTTGTTTTCCCCAGTCTATCCTTCCGTGATTGAAGTCCCCCATGATGAGCAGATGGGATCTATTTCTACAGGCAACAGTGGCTACTCTTTCAATTATAATGTTGACTGCCATGTTGTTTCTGTCATACTCTTGCCTGGGTCTTCTGTCGTTTGGTGGAGGGTTATATATCACTGCTACCACTACTCTTGGACCTCGTATCGTCATGGTGCCTGTAATGTAGTCACTGAATCCCTCACAGCCTGGGATAACCATCTCCTTGAAACTCCATTCCTTTCTTATCAGTTGGGCCACTCCACCTCCTCCCCTCTCTCTCTTTATTACAGTGTAGTTCTGGGGAAACCCTGCATCTGTTATGATTCGTGAAAAATTTGTTTTCGTGAGTCCAATTACGTCTAGGTTCCCTTCTTGAGCTCGTTCCCTAAGTTCACTTGCCTTGATTGTAATCCCACCTATGTTCGAGTATATTACCTTGAAACTGACTCTCTTCTTTCCATCCTCAGTTTATGTTGATTTCACTGAAGTAGGGGGGAAGGGTATGTGTATGTGTGTGTGCGTGCGTGCGTGTGCGTGGGAGGGAGAGAGCAAGAGTGTGAAACGAGACAGACAGACTGGAGCATTGTCGGATACACCATCTAGTGTATTATATACATACAACATTAATGTAAATAACGGCATATTCTACGCCTGGATAATAAACAGGGGCGTGTTCTGAGGAGAGGTCAAGTAGCATGTCGCGGGAGACGGTGACCTTCAGCCAGTCAGCTCCCTCGTCCATCTGTGTTGACGAAAGTGCTCTCTCCTCCCGCACTGGATGCTGCGTCATCACCCTCACCTTCACTCAGCCTACACAGGTCAGTACTCACCTTCCTCCAACTAACACAGGTCAGTACTCACCTTCCTCCAACTAACACAGGTCAGTACTCACCTTCCCTCCAACCATGCTGCAGCCAAATGAGCTACAGAGATGTTAGAAAGAACTTTTTCAGTGTCAGAGTAGTTAACAAATGGAATGCATTAGGCAGTGGTGGTGGAGGCTGACTCCATACAAAGTTTCAAATGTAGATATGATAGAGCCCAGTAGGCTCAGGAATCTGTACACCAGAGGCGGAACTAAAAAAGTCCTGCCTCTCAACGCCCACAAGCACAACTAGGTGAGTACATATTGGTTATAACAAAGAAATAATACAATGTTACTGGGATATTTAACCGAAAATGTTTAATAAAAAAAACTATCCACATTGTGGGAAAAACCTGCTGGGATTGATATAAGAGGAGACTACTAGAGACTTGGACTGAACTAAATTAAAAAATTACTGTCTGCAAATTAATGCCTAGAATCTCTGGCTAGGGTCGTAAATCCTAGCTCCTCTTTTCCTAATGATAGATTGTGGGCTGTAAGGGACAGGTGGGATGAATGGATTAGTTGATAGAAGTTCCAGTCCACCTGTAGACAGGGATCTCACATCAGCTTGCATATTATACAAGGATAAGATTTGATAAATTCAGTTATATGACTGAACACTGGCTCTGTTTAAATCAGAGATTTAAACATACATAGTCTAACCTAGCACCACAAATAACAGCCAATAGGTTCTTATACTATGAACAACAAATTAAATTGTAAAAGTATAATAAATGACTTTAAATGTAGTCTAAGCACTTAACTAAGTACTAGAAATTATTCAATTAAATGAACTTGTATGATAACTTATAAATTAACTAAGCAAGCAATTGTTAACTTAATTTATATATTCAAATATATATGCAGACATATTTAATAATAATAATAATAATAATTTTTATTTAGGCAAAGGTACATACATAAAGAGATTTTACAAAGTTTGTTGGCTTTATAGATAAGAGCTAGTACATACAATGCCTAAAGCCACTATTACGCAAAGCGTTTCGGGCAGGAAAAAACACTACTGACTAAAGCTTAAAACTAATGGGTAAAAAGAAAAAAATGCGTTGAGTACAAATAAAAATAGAGGTAAAAGAGGGGGGAACATTGTTGAAAAAACAGCACAAATACAATTACAAATTTTTACAGAAAATTACATTAAAACAGCGTTGATTTGTAAAAAAAAAAAAAAAAAAAAACATACATGGGTTGACAATAGAGAGGTAAGGTAGGTTACAGGGAATTTATTAGGTATAGCTTCGTTTTTAACTTAAACTGGTTGAGAGAGGTACTGTCTTTAACATGGTTGGGAAGGTCATTCCACATCCTGGGCCCCTTGATTTGTAGAGCATTTCTGGTTTGATTAAGTCGTACTCTAGGAATATCAAAACTGTATTTATTTCTGGTGTGGTGCTCATGGGTTCTGTTACAACCTTCTATGAAGCTTTTATTTATATTCAATTTATATGATTATGTAGTTAGACATTAAGTCACTGCACATTCTCTCATGTGTATTATACATATATAAAACGCTAAACTATAATGCCAATCCTGATCTCAAAAGCTTCATAGAAGGTTGTATCAGAACCCATGAGCATCACACCAGAAATAAATACAGTTTTGATATTCCTAGAGTACGACTTAATCAAACTAGAAATGCTCTACAAATCAAGGGGCCCAGAATGTGGAATGACCTTCCCAACCATGTTAAAGACTGTACCTCTCTCAACCAGTTTAAGTTAAAAGCGAAGCTATACCTAATAAATTCCCTGTAACCTACCTTACCCTTCTATATATATTGTCAACCAATATCTGTTTTTTCTTTAAAGAGCGCTGTTTGTCGACATAATTGTATTTGTGCTGCTTTTTCATCTATGTTTTCATTTCTTGTTTTCATTCTACTCATTATGCTCAATTAGTATTAAGCTTGTCATTTAAGTTTATCATGCCCGAAACGCTTTGCGTAATAGTGGCTTTAGGCATTGTATTTTTAATTTAATAATAAGCATATATCAGATTCAGATTCAGATTCAGATGTTTATTCAGGTAAGGTATATACATACAAGTGATGTTACATTAATGGATTGATATATAGATAGAGCTAGTACATACAATGCCTAAAGCCACTATTACGCAATGCGTTTCGGGCAAGAAAACATTAATATCTAGAACTTAATACTAATTGAGCATAAAGAATAAAAGATGTTGAGAGCTAGTATGTACTAGCTCTACCTATAAGTCAAACAATCCTTGTAAATATTTATTGTATGTATGTACCTTACCTAAATAAAATTGTATTGTATTGTTGTATTGTAGTCAGCTTGACTGAATCCTTTTCCACACAATGGACACTCATGAGACTTTATTTAAGCATTGCGACTGACTCTTTTTCTGACAACTGGACACTCATGAGGTTTAGTGCCTGGACAAGGACCTGCTGCTCATCTACAATATTAATAAACTTACTGAAATGTGAGGCATAGCCTCGCTTTTTAACCAACAGACAGATTTATAGGATATTAAAGTCACACAAGCATACAATTGGCCAATCATATACCAAATAACCTTCAATATACTTCTCTGCCAGTCGGGGTGCCTGTCTGACAAGGTGCCAGACTGATTAACTCTCTCTTGTTGAGTTTAGGCACGATATTTTGTCACAGCGTTGCTGTATGATGTACTGGTAGCGTTGCTACGTGATTGACCCTGCAGTTGCAGAATAATGATAGTTGCTGAAGATTAGGAATGAAGGTGGAGCCAAGTCACTGTGTGCTCCACTATACACTCCTATTTTATATAAATGTTCTAGGATTTTCCTTGTAGATATTGTCCAGGTACTCCCCCAATTCTAGAGAGTGTTCACTGGTGATAAAGATATTAGATAAGGTGTCCTTGAGCTGGTAATGCTCGCTAAGGATCCGTCACACGTGTTCACAGTTGTCAACAAACGCGTGGTCCTCCTCCGCTATCGTGGACGCTTCTGACCCAGATCCCTTCCCATGCTCCCCGAGCATGGAAGTCTTCTATGAATATTGATTGATTATTTTTACAGTCTAGACTTATGATTGAGATAAGCTGTAATTATAATATAATTTGATATAGGATATAAAGATTATAAGTAGTACTTGATAGTACCACTGATTCTTATTAAGGATTCGATTTTTATCCCTACCGGATATTGAATCAATGTTCCAATAATTTTTTAATTATAAAATCCTTCTAGAAGTTTCTGGATCCATAAGAGATCATGCACAAAGTCACGTAGGCATCTATAGGGCCCTATGCGTACGGGATCCAAGTGGCATTATCTTCTAGGATCAAACTGTATAATGAATTTGTAATGATTCTGATATGATTTTAGATATGATTTTGATATGATACAGAAATTATACATTTCTTAGATGATAATTAGATATGGTGGGTAAAAATTTCCCACACACATTACTGAGGTCTCGAACAACAATAATTTTTATTAGCTAAACGAGTTCTTTTGCAATATGTAATTAGCAGAACCAGAGGTTGTGTGAATATTCCTACAGATATTTAAACAACTTACTTTATTCCTAATATTTCTAACAAAGCCTCTGTCTATTAGATAGGAGAGATCACCTTCAGGAACTACTACACATGGGCCGTGGGCATCCATGTGTTGAGGGCATCTCCCACCTCCTCAGCCAACATCGGTGGTGTGGTGGGCGCCGGGCTGCTGGGCGGGGACGCGGGCGGGGAGGTGGCCTGGGCCTGGAAGGACCCTGCAGCGTGGCAGGTGGGCGTGAAGAACAAGGTGATCATGCCGCACCCGCACACAGAGACCGCCAGCCACGACTTCGTATCCGTCACCTGTCTCGAGGTATGCTTCATGGAATAAAATCATTTATTTTTGTCTAGAAGATCTGTGGTTATTAGATCTTGTTTTATCTGGGTATGTAGTTTGTGACAGTTTAACTTTATACCCGTTGCTCGGTACCGTGGAGTGTGATGAAGTGAGCATGGCTCCCAGCACGTACACCTTCCCTGGACAGAGCCGCGTGGACTGGCAGGACGTGATAGGGCTGAGACTGGTGCTGCGGCAGCCCTCGCCTGTCTGGAGAACCTTCTTCATCGAGGAGATCACCGCCTATCGGGAGCTGCCTCGCCTGCCCCCCTTCAGCGTGCCAATCATCTCCCAAGACGGCCAAGTGGGTAGTATTGTAGTATATTCTTTACTAACAAGTTCAGGCGTACACAGCAGTGTCCTGCTTAGTAGGCATCCATCAGTCTTAGGAGACTATGGAGTTGCACTCTGGTGTCGGCCTGGTCTGGAGTGGTCTCACCAGGGCGCAAAGCCAGGGTAAGTTGATTCGGGGGAGAAGCTGTTACCCAGGCAGCAGGTCACCCCTCTCCAGGGCGCTGAAAGTCTCCAATGGAAAGGCATACGCCAATACGATTGGTTCCAGCACCGTCGCAGGAACTGTGAGTTCCGGGAATGACCTCGAAGTTGGTGAAGAAGGGCACAGGGACCTCCAACCCCGGAGACCGCCGTGGTCGTTATCTTGAGATGATTTCGGGGCTTTAGTGTCCCCGCGGCCCGGTCTTCGACCAGGCCTCCACCCCCAGGAAGCAGCCCGTGACAGCTGACTAACACCCAGGTACCTATTTTACTGCTAGGTAACAGGGGCATAGGGTGAAAGAAACTCTGCCCATTGTTTCTCGCCGGCGCCCGGGATCGAACCCGGGACCACAGGATCACAAGTCCAGTGTGCTGTCCGCTCGGCCGACCGGTCGTGGCCGGAGAAGAACCACCCCATCAAGGGTATGAACGACCCCAGCCTCCTGAAGCAGAGCCTGGGCCACACGACCCTCGGGAGGTGGACGTCCCGGTCCCGCACCTTCGGGTTCCAGACAGATACCGTCACAGCCCCTTTCACCCGAGGCCGGCCTCCGGGTGAAAGTACGCTGTATGCAGTACGCTGTTCTGTATAAACCCCAGCCACTTGACTGGTAGAGTGACGGCCTTGCATTATGCGTGGTCGACGTTCGATCCCCGATGGTCCAAGTGGTTGGGTACAATTCCGTTTCCGCGTCCTCATTTCCTAACTCCTTGTCCTTATATTTCTTGCAAGTGCTTTATAGTTGTACTGTAAAGTACAGTCTTAGCGCTCTCCCCTGATTACAACGTATAGGTCAAGAGCCAGCTATAAGTTCATATATGGAGTCAGGAAAAATATGAGATGCGAATCTAGTCTACACTAACAAACTTTAGGTAGATTATGAAAATATCTTCCAATATCGGTGAGCATATGAAGTAGTAACAGAGCTCCAAGTATATCATACCATTTGGTCTAAAATAGATTAAAACAGGGCATTAAAAGTATAGTTTGAGAAGCAGTTCAGTGAAAATGCTGCTAAAAATACACTCTCAAATTTATTAGAGCATTCGTTCTATTTGCATAAAAAATAAACATTTCATGACTACTGCAAATGTAACTATCATCCAAAAAGTTCCTTCCATTTATATTTTTTCCAAGTATCATTGATCTACATGATCTTACGTCTTCCCTATTGGCCAAAATCTTAATTTTAATCGATAAATTATTTCGATTGTTCATTTCTTAGTCGAATTTATGAACAAAATTTAGTTTATGTGCATCTAGGTGCTAAATTATTGTACCCTTGCAGAGCGAGAAGAGTCAGCAAGTGACGCCGTTGGACCGCCTCATCCAGCAGACGAGGCGAGCGATGCGCATCCAGCAAGATGAATCTTTAGAGGTTAACTATTGCAAAAGTTTTTTTCACATACTGTTTTTTCACTTGTATTTGATTTTTTTTTAGTTTTATCATTATTTATTAATTAGAGTTCTCTCAAGCGCACTCATTTATGGTACTCATATTATGACACAGTAATCATCTTGACCACACTCTGTCATCATCACTACACGGTCATTGTCACTGTGAGCATCTTCACCACACTCTGTCATCATCACTACACGGCCATTGTCACTGTGAGCATCTTCACCACACTCTGTCATCATCACTACACGGTCATTGTCACTGTGAGCATCTTCACCACACTCTGTCATCATCCCAGCAACCACCAGGCAGCACTTGGTGGTAATCTTGGGGGTAGATCTTTCATCGAATCACCTCACATTGTGGGGCCACGTGAGCAACACAAATGCGAACAAGCTTGAATGGTCCCCAAGCCAATATGCAACTGAAAACTCCACACCCCAGAAGGATTCGAACCCAGACAGTCAGGAGCACTATGCACCATGGCGTACCTGATTCCTTAACCACTCGACCACCATGACAGTACAAAAGTCATTGGTAGATTAGGCTATGTCCCCAATGACCCATGGGGATATAGCAGAGTTTTCAGTTGCATATTGGCTTGGGGACCACTCAAGCTTGTTCACATTTGTGTTGCTCACGTGGCCCCACAAAGTGAGGGGATTCGATAAAATATCTATGCCTAAACTTATCACCAAGTGCTGTCGGGTCATTGGGGATATAGCCTAGGCTACCAATGACTTTTGTACAGTTACGGTGGTAGTTTGTTCGCACGCATATATATATATATATATATATATATATATATATAGGTATATATATATATATATATATATATATATATATATATATATATATATATATATATATATATATATATATATATATATATATATATATATATATATATATATATATATATATATATATATATATATATATATATATATATATATATATATATATATATATATATATATATATATATATATTATATTAGTATATTTTTGTAGCAGTCTCTCTTGTAAACATATGTTGTTAAATATGACCGAAAAGGTAAGATTAATAATTCTAACACGAATTTTCTCAGTATTTCTTATGTTTCTTTTCACTATCGATGGTGATTGAAAAATCAATTCTCCAAAATTCATTTTTATTTCTAGTCTGACGCGACGTCTGAACACGTTTCATAATAACTTATTACATTTTCAAAGACTTTACTTTACACACACAACTGTAATCTGTAAACACGCATCCATACTTATACTCGCATTTGGGTGAGGTGATATGGTACAAAAGTTTTGGGTGAGGTGATTGATATTTACACAAGATAAAACACGAACCAATGGGTATAAAAACATAAGAATGGAAGTAACTGCAGAAGGCCTATTGGCCCATAGCATCAACACTTCCTCTTGATGCTTCTATTGGTTCGGTGTCATGAAGTAGGTAGAATATAATTGTGCATTAATTGGCTGTTGATTGCTGGTGTTGACATTTTGATGTGTAGTACCTCATTGATGTCGAGCCGCCTGCTATTGCTGTACGTATCAATGATTTCTGTGTTGTTTGTTAAGATTTCTCTGGTGATGGTCTGGTTGTGAGACGAGATTATATGTTCCTTGATGGCGCTCTGTTGCGTATGAATTGTTAGTCGCCTGGAATGAGACGTTGTTGTCTTGCCTATATACTGAGTTCTTTGGGGCTTACAGTCCCCAAGTGGGCATTCAAAGGCATAAACGACGTTGGTCTCCTTCAAAGCATTCTGCTTGGTGTCTGGGGAGTTTTTCATGAGTAGGTTGGCCGTTTTTTTGGTTTTATAATAAATTATCAATTGTATTTTCTGATTTTTGTTTATAAAGATGACATTCCTATCAACAATATCTTTCAATACCCTTTCCTCTGTTTTATGAGCCGTCGAAAAGACGTTCCTGTAAATTAGTCTAATAGGGGGTACCTGTGTTGTGTTAGTTGACTCTTTAGAGGTCGCATGGCGTTTCACTTTTCTTTGACCCACTTTGACCTTTATAAATTCCCAAGGAATTTGTCGACTTACTGTGGGGAGCACGGGCTACGAGAATAAGAGCTTCGTTGGATGTGGAGTCACTATTTACCAACGTACCTGTGGACGAAACAATCGGGATAATAGCAGACAGAGTGTATCGTGACTCGGCTTGCACTCCTCTTGACATGCCAGAAAGCATACTAAGGAAACTACTTCAAGCCTGTACTAAAGAGGCACCCTTCTTGAGCCCAGATGGTCACATGTATAAGCAAGTAGATGGGGTCGCCATGGGTTCTCCCCTAGGTGTCCTGTTTGCGAACTTCTACATGGGGACCATCGAGCAGAGGGTCTTAGTTGATATGGACTTGAGACCCGTCATATACTGCAGGTATGTTGACGACATTTTTACACAGGTACCTGATGCCAGATGTCTGCAGCAGCTGAAGGAGGCATTTGAGTGGAATTCTGTGTTAGGTTTCATGTACGAGATGGAGAATAATGGGAAGCTGCTCTTTCTGGATGTAACAGTCACGGAAAGGAGCGGAGGCTTCCATACTGCAGTCTACACCAAGGAAACAAACATAGAAATGTGCTTCAATGCCAATAGTGACTGCCCAGACAGGTACAAGAGGAGTGTTGTCAATGCTTACATCGACCGTGCTCTCAGCCACAGCTCAGGATGGAAAGAAGTCGATGAAGAACTCTGTAGGATAAGGCAGGTCCTAGTCAACAATGGCTTCTCTAACGGTTTCGTTGAAGACATCATAAAAAGAATGGTGAAACGCCATGCAACCTCCGAAGAGTCAACCAACACAACACTTGTATCCCCTATTAGACTATTTTGCAGGAACTTCTTTTCGACAGCTCTTAAAACGGAGGAAAGGGTCCTGAAAGACATTGTTGACAGGAATGTCATCCCTACAGACAAAAATCAGAAAATACAATTGATAATTTATTATAAAACCAAAAAAACGGCCAATCTACTCATGAAAAACTCCCCAGACACCATGCAGAACGCTTTGAAGGAGACCAACGTCGTCTATGCCTTTAAATGTCCACTTGGGGACTGTACATAAGAACATAAGAACAAAGGTAACTGCAGAAGGCCTATTGGCCCATACGAGGCAGCTCCTATTCTATAACCACCCAATCCCACTCATATACTTGTCCAACCCGTGCTTGAAACAATCGAGGGACCCCACCTCCACAATGTTACGCGGCAATTGGTTCCACAAATCAACAACCCTGTTACTGAACCAGTATTTACCCAAGTCTTTCCTAAATCTAAACTTATCCAATTTATATCCATTGTTTCGTGTTCTGTCCTGTGTTGATACTTTTAATACCCTATTAATATCCCCCCGGTTATGTCCATTCATCCACTTGTAAACCTCTATCATGTCACCCCTAACTCTTCGCCTTTCCAGTGAATGCAACTTAAGCTTTGTTAATCTTTCTTCATATGAAAGATTTCTAATTTGGGGAATTAACTTAGTCATCCTACGCTGGACACGTTCAAGTGAATTTATATCCATTCTATAATATGGCGACCAAAACTGAACTGCATAATCTAAATGGGGCCTAACTAGAGCAAGATATAGCTTGAGAACCACACCAGGTGTCTTGTTACTAACGCTGCGATTAATAAATCCAAGTGTCCGATTTGCCTTATTACGAACATTTATGCATTGATCCTTTTGTTTTAAATTCTTACTAATCATAACTCCCAGATCCCTTTCGCAATCCGACTTCGCAATCACAACACCATCTAGCTCGTATCTTGTAACTCTATCATCATTACCTAACCTCAGAACTTTACATTTATCAGCATTAAACTGCATCTGCCAATCCTTTGACCATTTCAAAACCCTATCTAGATCAACTTGAAGTGATAGTGAGTCCTCCTCCGAATTAATTTCCCTACCGATTTTCGTATCATCGGCAAATTTGCAAATGTTGCTACTCAAACCTGAATCTAAATCATTTATATATATTATAAACAACAGAGGTCCCAGGACAGAGCCTTGAGGCACTCCACTTACAACATTTTCCCACTCTGACTTGATACCATTTATACTAACTCTCTGTTTCCTTTGGTATAGCCATGCCCTAATCCAGCTTAATATAGCACCCCCAATACCATGAGACTCTATTTTTTTAATCAGTCTTTCATGTGGCACTGTATCAAAAGCTTTGCTAAAGTCAAGGTATACAACATCGCAATCCTTACCACTATCAACTGCCTCAACAATGCTAGAATAAAAAGATAACAAATTTGTTAAACATGAACGGCCATTTATAAAACCATGTTGCGACTCAATTATTAATTTATGTTTTTCAAGATGAAGACGAATTTTATTTGCTATTATAGATTCGAGTAACTTTCCCACAATAGACGTTAGGCTAATTGGTCGATAGTTAGACGCAAGTGATCTATCTCCTTTCTTAAAAACTGGTATCACATTAGCAACTTTCCAAAACTCTGGCACTCTGCCTGACTCTATTGATTTATTAAATATGGTTGACAGTGGGTCACAAAGCTCCTCTTTGCATTCTTTAAGCACCCTAGCAAACACTTCATCCGGCCCTGGGGATTTGTTTGGTTTGAGTTTTACTATTTGTTTAAGAACATCCTCCCTGGTAACTGCTAAACTCGTCAACCTGTCCTCGTCCCCACCCACATAGACTTGTTCGGCTGAAGGCATATTGTTAAGTTCCTCTTTAGTAAATACAGATACAAAATATTTATTAAAAATACTACTCATCTCTTCATCACTATCTGTTATTTGACCTGTCTCAGTTTTTAATGGACCTATCCTTTCCCTAGTCTTAGTACGATATAACTGAAAAAACCCTTTAGGATTTGTCTTTGCTTGCCCTGCTATGCGAACTTCATAGTTTCTTTTTGCTTTCCTTATCTCTTTTTTAACATTTCTAACCAGTTGTACGAATTCCTGTTCTAAAGTGACCTCCC